TTAATTTCTGTCCAGGTTCTTACAGCGTTTCACCATTATTAACAAATCTTCCCTTATAATCATGTAGGGCATTTAATAACAAAAATGATCCAAGAAAGATCAAAAAGGAAAAAGAATGTAAAAGAAATCGACTAGATTATATACCCAAAATATATATATATATATATATATATATATATATATATATATATATATATATATATATATATATATATATAGCATAATGAGAAGCCACGTATACTTTCTTAATATGTATATATAAAAAGTTTCAAATTAAAAATAATAATAATTTTTTATTTTATGAAAGTATTTATTTATTTATATATATATTTGATATTTCAAATTTAATTTTAATTTATTTGTAACAAAGAGTTATTTCTGATGAAAATTGAGGACAATTTGAAATATCAAATATATATATATAAATAAATAAATACTTTCATAGAATAAAAATTATTATTTTTTAATTTGAAACTTTTTCTATATATATATATATATATATATATATATATATATATATATATATATATATATAAATTAAAAATTCTTACCGTTCCTCTATCCTTTGTGCGCATGTAGTCGCATCAAAGTAAAAAATAAATTTAGTCCGAAGAAGTCCTAAAGAACGAAACGTGTCACGCGAAAACTTTTTCCACTATGATGCCATATCAAGTTGGGTTTCGGTCTTGGCTTGAATCGGTCGGGTGTCTAGCTACACTGAGGAGCTGTGATACAGCGAAACATTCGGTGGATAACAAATACGCATTTTCTCTCCACAGTACTCGATCGAGTTAATTTATAATTTAATTCGTTCGAGCACTGTAGGGAGAAAACGCGTATTTGTAAACAGTGACTATTACTGCTAATAATGCAAGACTCTCCCAACGGATTGAGTCCTCTAGGTCACTGACGTGTCCATGAAAAAAAATAAATACGCAAAAATTCGCCTTTCTCTCTGCCGGGTGTCGATGGCCTAGTGGGGTTAAAATCTCCGGCTGATCCCAAATCGATCGGGTTTCAGTCGCGGCTTGAAATGATCGGATGTCTGGCCACACCATTACAACGAAGCAGTTTGTATTTGGATGTGTGTCTCATATAAATATAGAAAGGGGTGTAAGACAAGGATGCGTCTTTTCGCCGGACATTTTCAAAATATACAGAGAGGAAATTCTGTATTGGCAGCCACAATATAATTTATGCTGATGACATCGTGTTGATAGCAGACGCAGAAATAAATCTAAAAAAAGCTGCTACAGAAGTTAGTGAAGGAAAGCGAGAAGAAATGTCTGAACATAAACTGCCAGAAGAAGGTTATTAGAAAAAAGATGAACCCAAAATGCGAATTACAAACCGGAGAAACCAAAATCACCCAAGTAATCTAAATATCTGCGAAGTGTTTTGACAGAACTGAAAATGCGGCACTGAAATCAGAAGACGCATCGGGACAGCCAAAGATGCTTTTCAAAAGCTAAGCAGATTATTAAGAAGCAGAAAAAAAACTTCTTTAGAACCAAAGAAAATAGTACTGAACTGTTAGGGGATATCTGTTCTATAGTATTGCCGTAAATGCTGGACAATTTCCTCAAAGATGAAGAAGAGACTTGAAGAGACAGAAACATGGTTCTAAAGAAAGATGCTTAGGGTACGATGGACCCGATCATGAGCAACGATGCGGTTTTAGAGGAAATGGAAGATACAGTTGAAGTTTCAGGGGAATATAATGAGGGCGGAGTGCTTGGAAAAATTGTTACTCACAGGATGGATTGAGGGCAAAAGTGTATAATATACTTGACGATCTTGAGAAAATGAATGGTGGAACAGGGTTTAGAAATAATGAAACGACATCATTTATTTAGAGCTAAAACAGGACGTTGTGGAGAGCTATGATCACCTACGTCCTAAAGAGACATGGCATAGAGAGAGAGATTTGAATGAGAGAGAGAGAGAGAGAGAGAGAGAGAGAGAGAGAGAGAAAGAAAGATAATGAGCTTGGTCAGAGCGTGTTTTTGTGGCGGGGGTGGGGATAGAGAGAAAGAGAGAGAGATAAAAAGCGAGAAAGACAATAGCAAAGAGAAAACTAATTGAGAAAATAGGTACAAAAGAGAAAATAAAACCCCGCTAAAATTGTGGAGAGAGAGAGAGAGAGAGAGAGAGAGGGGGAGAGAGAGAGATCGACAGAAATATAATAGGAAAGCGATGAACTCACTCATGTAGACAAAGAGAAAGCGAGCCACAAAACTGAATACGATATATATATATATATATATATATATATATATATATATATATAGAAAAAGTTTCAAATTGAAAATTATAATGTTTTATTTTATGAAAGTATTTGTAACAAACAGTTATTTCTGATGAAAATTGAGGACAATTTGAAATATCAAATATATATATAAATAAATAAATACTTTCATAAAATAAAACATTATAATTTTCAATTTGAAACTTTTTCTATATATACATATTAAGAAAGTATACGTGGCTTCTCATTATGCTATATATATATATATATATATATATATATATATATATATATATATAGAGAGAGAGAGAGAGAGAGAGAGAGATAGATAGATAGATAGATAGATAGATAGATAGATAGATAGATAGATAGATAGATAGATGGAGGGAGAGAGAGAGAGAGTAAAAGTGAGTAGAAATGGAGACGGAAAGGGAGAAGGAGTAATAGAGAGAGGAAGACAGTCGGATAGACTAAAAGAGACAGACTGTCTGTCTTATATAATTGAAAAAAAATCAAAACTTCAAGAGAGAGAGACAAGGAATAAGAAAGAAAAAGAAAAAGTGAGAGAGAGAGAGAGAGAGAGAGAGTTAGAAAGAGGGAAAGATCGGGAGTAAAAAGGAGAATAAAAAATGTAGAAAAAGGAAACCAAAGAAAAAATAGAGAGGGCAATGACAGATAGAGAGATATAAAAAAAAACAAGATGGAGCTGCAGGCAGAAATAAATCCAGTTTGGCAGATAGGAGCATAGGAGTCCTAGTATTTACTGAAAAATTTCAGGAGACAGATCTAAAGAAAAAAAAATAACGCCAACATATCCGCACAAAGCAAGGAAAAGAATTGGGGGAGAGAAATTCAGTTCTGCAGATAGACACAGATAGATTAATTTGAAAGATAGCATTTTGCGCGCGAAAACGTTAAAAAGTGAACGTGGAAGAAAGGCAGAATAAGATTAAAAAATATGCGCACATACTCAGTGTGTGCGCGCGTGTGTATGTGCGTGTACGAGAAGAAAAAAAAGAGAGATAAATAAAGACAAGAATAGAGAGAGAGAGAGAGAGGGAGTAAGAAAGAGAGAGTGTGAGAAAGACAAGAAGAGAGAGAAAGCTAATTCGGGAAACAGAAAAAAATCAGGTACAAAGGAGATGTTCACTCATAATTGTATGATGATGATAGATAGATAGATAGATAGATAGATAGATAGATAGATAGATAGATAGATAAAGAAAGAAAGAGAGAAGTGGAGAAGGAATGGAAAGAGATACAGATTGACAGAGAGAGAGAGAGAGAGAGAGAAAATGATAGTGAATTAAACAGAAGGTGGATTCTCAGATTTGCCTATGAGTGTTTTTGTGTGTGAAAGAGAGAAAGAAAGAGACAGGGAGATAAGAAGAAGAAGAAGAAGAAGAAGAAGAAGGGAAAGAGTAATAGAAAATACACAAAGAGGAGAAAAGAAAAAGAGAGAATAGCAGACAGATAGATAGATAAAGAGAGATACAGCGGTAGACATAAATAGACACAGTTTGGCAGATAGAAGCAGACTAAGAAAGCTTAGAAAGAAAGGGGAGGAGCAGGAAGAAATATTTAAACCGGGCATAAATGCCCGTAAAAGAGAGACAGAAATTTAGTCGCTTCGTCAGAGGAAGATTACGTTGAAACAATGACTTAAAAGACAGAATATTGAAGTTCAAGAATGATGTCAGATTGTTATATGAGACATCATGTTCACCCTTTTTTGTGCGAAAATGTTCGGCAGACAGAAATGGCAACCATTAATGTCTGAGATTAATATAAGTTGCTTTTGGGCAAGTTATTGCGTAAAGTTAGCAAGCCTCTTCATTTTCGCTCTCTCATTGCAATTACAGCTAAAGCTGGAGTTATAATCTGCCACGTCATTTGTCTTGATGAGTGCAAACGCACTCAATGAAGAAGAGGAGCGGAAATGACGTAAAGGAAGTAGAGTTAGTTTGCAGTTATTTCTGCATTGGTGGCCAATTATTCTGCAGGACTAATTGCTATTCTACGCCCCTTTTGAAGATTTTGCCTACTGCTGGATGTGTGGGCATAGAAACGATTCGTTGGAATTTCTCTGCAATGACTGTCTGCTACTTTTCGGTTGTTCTTTATTTGAGTTTCCTCATACTTTTTACCTTACTTTTAACCCTGTTTTGCCAGCTTCATATACAGGATTTATCTCTACGTATATGAGAGCAAATGCCAGCAACATTATTGGCGTGAATAAAACACGCGTGATTGAACTACGAACACGATCTATACAAGCAGTTTCCTTTGGTATGAGAATAGATCACGGAGAGAACGCTCATTTATTTAACGCATTTACCAATATAACGAATTCGAATCTCAATGGATGCTCCATGATTGCAACTCTATTTCATACTAAGATAAGCTAAATAAATAACCAGTCTTGCCTCGTGGTTGAGTTAATATCTTTCACTGTTAAAAGACAATCGATGTTAACTAAGGCTTTAAATAATGATTCGACCAGACAAGTGACAAGTTAGTCTACGGGATATAATTGTATGCTGACTTCAGACATTGCATTCTGAAAGTAAATATGGTGTATAAATGGAAGACCTAACGTAATGTTACGTGGCACGCGCCACGTTTTAAAATTCGCGTTTCGCTTTCAGATATGTTAACACTGCAGCTCCAATCTGATACACGTTAGAAAAGGCACATTGTGATTTTTTTTAAGCAATTCCACCCCAAGCAAAGCGGGAAGCCACTAACACACGAGGTGTTACAGAGAGTTGGAGCGAGAGCAAAGAGGAGTGATAGAGGAAAGGATGAAGAGAAGGTTAGAGGATCTGGAGACGTCGATTGACATTACATTTGAATAGTTGAAGATTATAGCTATCAGGAAAACAAGAAATGGGGTGGGGGTTCCACAGGCGAGAAGTGAGAGACATGAAGCTATTGGAGTAGAAGAGACTACATTCAACAATTTCGACAGTGGTAGGGTGAGAGCGAGATGACAACCTAGTTGAACGCTTAAATTCATGAAGTCTGGGAACCAGCGAAAGCAGCTCATCGGAGAGATTACCGTGAAAGTATTTGTAAAAAAGACAGAGTGAGGCTACGGCACGTCTGTGAGAGAGCTGCTGCAGACGAGATGCCAGATCAGGGCCAGTTACCTTGCATATCCGTGTTTGGATTTTATCAAGGACCTTGAGACAAATAGAAGGGGCTCCAGACCATATATGGCAGCAATACTCCATGCAAGGGTAAATGGTTGATTTGTAGATTTGAAGGATCGACTCCGGCGAGAAAAATTTCCTGGTGCGGCACAGGGAGCCGAATTTTCTTTGCGGCGGACGAAGCTATTAACTCAATGTATTCGTTCCATCTCAGGTCAGCAGACAATGTGAGACCGAGCAGTCGCAAAGAGGTGCTTGCGTGGAGTTTAGCGTCAGACATTCTAATGGGAGGCAGGGATGGTTCTCTCTGGTAAGTAATGGAGAGCAGTTTTGTTTTTGAGAAATTAAAGTTAACCAGCCAATTCCTGCCCCAGTCCACAACTGATTGGAGGTCCTTTTCGAGACAAACGGCTAGGTTAGTTCTGTCAGCTACACTAGATTTGTTTTTGAGGCAGGAGTAAATAGCAGTGTCGTCCGCGTAGATGCCTACTCTGTGTACGTGGCATAGCGGTCTCTAGCTGTGAAGGCATGGACTGATGAATTTAAAGATTGCTGTTCATCTGAGCAACTGCCATGAAACAGAATAGCAAGGCACAAGCAATGTTTAGTATGTGGGGAAACGGGTTGTAAGGTGCAAGGTTCTTAGCCGCTTGGTCTTGGGGATAACGCGCACTATATTGATGGAGTAAACCATCGTTGTTGGCGGTTTGCTTATTGATTCAAATAGTCAGGAAACATTGATCCGTGCGATAACGGTTCCATGACGTATTTCGTTGGATCAGCGACCCCAGCTAAGAATACACTAACACTTTCCATTATTGAATTATCCCTAGGTTGCTTCTTGCCTTGTTGATAACTGGGGCCCACACACTTATGGGGCTGCCACTACATTCTCTCCCTACCACCACCTTCGGACCGTAACTCACACCGGACCACACCAGACATTTTTATTGTTGTGTTCAATTAGCGACGACACAGTACGAAGAAGGTACTGTGTCATGTCATCAATAAGGCGCTCCAAATGGATAACATGCGTTCTCATATCTCATGGGATCTAAAAATGTGTTGAACTGACCTACTAGACATGCCTCCGGTATCTGTTGCATTGAACGTGGATGTTATTTGAGTCAATTGCCTCGGAAATTCTAGCCGTTTTTTTCTGGTTACGATAATTCTGGAACTGTGGTCAATCAGTGTGCACGAAAATGTCTCCTATCAGCACATGATCTAAGAAATAAAATGTTCCATCTCAGAACTAATATCATGTTCTATTCTACAAATAATAATTTGTGCAACCTAGCCTCTGTTCATACTGATTCTATTCTACAAATAATAATTTGTGCAACCTAGCCTCTGTTCATACTGATTCTATTCTACAAATAATAATTTGTGCAACCTAGCCTCTGTTCATACTGATTCTATTCTACAAATAATAATTTGTGCAACCTAGCCTCTGTCCATACTGATTCACCAAATAACAGAACAGGTCTAAAGAGATTTCCATAACGGTAAGGTACGGTAGCACCAACTATCATTACAAGAATTTCCTATGACTTTTGACACGTCAGTGTATATTGTGAGATGTTGAATACAATGCTGGGAAAAAAGGGACGCCTTACTCGAAAATGGTTCTACAAATTAAAACAGAAATAATTTGCTTTTAATATGGGCGCCATATTTTATTGCCTAGCTAATAACAGAAAGTTTAGTATTTATGGGGGAAATTTTATTCTCGTCGATCACTCTCTTATTTCTAGAATGTTCTGTAAAGCATAATAGGGACAGGTTAATAGGGACCAAAAGTATAACAGAAACAAAAGAAATATGGCAGCATAAGGATATCTTCCAATTAACCATAATAAAATCATATATCTCTTTAGAATGGAAAGAGTTATAACTCCTCACGACTTCCAGGGCGATGTATTAGTTTTTGTTGGTTCTAATTCTATATGAAATTCCTTCGGCAGTACCTATACCAATCGGGTATAGAAATGCAGATTTATAGCAAATTGAATTACAATTGTGGCACGAGGCCAAAGAAGAATTAGGGTGATGTTGGTCTACACTATCGTAGACCTAGCTAATCAGATTCAAGACTCAATCATTCATTACAATTTATTCATCCACCACAAGAACTCATCCATCGCCACTCAATCCGATATACACCACAATACCACATATTCACAGAGAACCTACAACAACACTCATGACATAAAAATTTCATTATGTAAAAATGTCCTTTGTAGCTTTCCAATTTTTTTTTATAAAAATACGAAAAAGATTTAATGATATAAAATGGGTAGTGGAAAATCCCCAAAACGAAACTAAAATATAAACAAATATTCAACAAAAAATAGAATATGTTTGTAGGACCTGGTCATCCGACAGAAATAAGAGCGCCCGTTATATTCTTCTAATAACCAGAATTAAGAGGCTTGCTCACTAGATATGGAAATACAAAATAAATTACGAAGTAGAGAAAATATTAATATCCTGTATAAGAATGACTACAAAAACATTCCTCTACTAGACACATTGTACAGATGCCTGCTGGGATACCTTCAAAAGTTAAACGACTTGGTCTCATCCGCCATATTTCTGTTTTTTCTTGTCTTGAAGTCAGAACGCTACGATCGTTGGATCTCTGTGCCGCGCCAGGAAAATTTTCTCCCCGGAATCGATACTTCAAATATACAAATCAACCATTCGTCTTTGCATGGAGTATTGCTGCCATATATGGTCTGGGGCACCCTCTGTTTACCTCGGAGTTCTTGACAAGATCCAGAGACGGATATGTAATGTAATTGGACCTGATCTGGCACCTCGTCTGCAGTCGCTCTCTCACAGACGTGCCGTCGCCTTTCTCTGTCTTTTCTTACAAATAATTTCATGGTAATTGCTCCAATGAGCTGCTTTCACTGGTTCCCAGACTTCATGAATTCAAGCGCCCTACGAGGCTGGCATCCCGCTCTCACCCTTTCACTGTAGAAACTTTTAAATGTAGCCGTCTCTTCTACTCCAATAGCTTCATATCTCGCACCTCTCGCCTGTGGAACACCCTTCCCTATTAATGTTTCCCTGAAAGCTATAATCTCCAACTATTCAAATGTAATGTCAGTCGACATCTCCAGTCACCTTGATCTATCCACTATCCCTCTCCTCATCCTTTCTTCTATCACTCCTAACTGCTCTCGCTCCAAATCTTCTGCAACCCTCTGCATACTAGTGGCTTCCCGCCTTGCTCGGGGCGTAATGCTTAAAAAAAACACCATTATTAGTTTGTGAACTTTTCTGCATTATTACAGTTGCTTTCCCTACTTTTGTCTTGCATATATTTTTTGCGAAGTATTACGTTTACCCTGTTTTTTTCTTTCTTTTGTTATTGTTTCTCGCAAACTTTGTTAATTCTGTTAGGCATTTTCTGCCAATTGCATTTAAC